AAGGAAGGAAGGAAGGAAGGAAGGAAGGAAGGAAGAAAGAAAGAAAGAAAGAAAGAAAGAAAGAAAGAAAGAAAGAAAGAAAGAAAGAAAGAAAGAAAGAAAGAAGTATGTATTTTAAAACCCGCAATGAAAGACAAGATTCTTGAAACTCCCCAGAGGCCAAAACGCAAAGGGGCTACATCTTTCTAGCAGAAGATATCAGAAGGTCCTGGATTCAACAAAGCGAGCAGGGCAAGACCTGAAAGGCTGGAACTCCGGAAAGGAGCTGCCACCCGGGCAATGCCAGCTGGCCTTGGTAGAAAGTGGCAGACCAAGGATTTAAGGGTGTCATTCTTCTTCCTGAAAGGCTGGTCTATCCATCTACACCCAAAGCAAGCAAATCAACATTTCCAAGGCAAAAGGGCTCATCCAGTTCCCAGATTTACCTTTTTGATCTCAAAGGATTTTTTTTCCCCTTCCAGAGAGCCCACTGCAACACACATGACGACTAGTACCTTCCTGTGCGGGTGCCAAACACCCCAGTGCCTCACATTTCATCCCTGAGGGTCATGCAGTTTCCTGGACAAGGTGTGTGCCCACTCGCCACCTCCCCCACCGCTGAGCCTGAACCTTCAAGGCAGCTGCAAGCAACAGAGCACAGGGACAGCCCAGCTCCTCCTAACCGCCACCATGCAGGGAGAAGGAGGATTAGTGTGGGGAGGGGGAGACAGGGGAAAGGTTCTGGTTAGAAAGATCAGAGGCCCAGCCAAGGAAACCACAAAGACAGAGGTCACCTTTAAAGAGACAGCATTCTCGAATGGCCCCCCCCTTCCCTACCAATTTGCAGGTGGCCCAGATGGGACCGAGCCGAAACAGCCCCCCTCCCAGTGGCTTCTCTTCCTGCAGGCAGAGAGCTAATGAGATCCCCACTGTCCCTTTAAGGGTGCCCTCTGCGTTCACACACAGCCACCCTTGGCCACCAAGGGGGGGGGGGGGGAGCAGGAGGCTGGCAGGGTGGGGGTGGGGGTTGCTGGGGGGGAAGAAGGGGGGGGGGGGGGGGGGGGGAGAGCAAGAAGCTGGCAGGGAGGAGGTGAGTGTTGCACGAGAGGAAGAAGGAGAGGAGGAGGAGGTGGAGAGAACAAATCCAGAGTGATGAACGCCTACCTTCTGGCAAACCTGAAAGACAGATTTCTAGAAGGGGGAAAAAGGGGAGGGGGAAAAAAACACGGCGGTGGGTGGATGAGCAAGCGTGAAAGTGTGAAATGAACAAGCAATGGGTCCCGGAATAGGCCGGTGCCCCATCCTCCCTCCCAATATTGGGGGTGTGTTTGGGAAAGGGGAGCTGCAGCAAACCCTGGCATTCTTCGCTCCTTCCGTCAGACACGGGAAGATGAGCAGCCGCCCTCTGCCCCAAACTGGGTCTGTCCGGGGGGGGCCTCCCCAACAGCCTGGCTACCCCTTGGAAAGCGAGAGGGAGCGGGG